GCATCTCCAATTGACGGGAAGATAAATCGTTCATTCAAAAATCCAATCTGAAACAACAAGAAGCCCTGAATCAAACATTAAGTGTTTTTTGATGTATTACAGTCTCGTGGTCAGCTTCGGAAGTGAACAGATTGTGTTTTACTTGCTCAGCATTGCGACTGCACCTAAATGATGGAGTCCATTCTGCGTGAGAGAGGCTTGAAGGGTTATGGGAATAGGGCAGGGCAGTGGGATTGAATGACCACCTTTCTCTGAGAATCGGTGTAGACATGATGGGCCGAATGGTCTCCTTCTGTTGCGTAAACTTCCATTTTTCTATGATTTCCTCTGACTAATAATAATCTTTGCCTTTGACACAAGTATTGTCTAAAGACTTAAAGCGCTTCACAGGAAATTGCTGTCAAGTGTAGTGACTGTATTTGTAGGTAAATGTAGCAAGCAAATGTTGCACACAAGAAGTGAATGACCATTGTATCTGGGGGATTGTTGGCCAGGACACCGGGAGAGAGAAATTCTCTTCTCTTTTCCAATAGTGCCATGGGATCTTTAACATCCACCTGAACAGATGCAAGCTATCTCAGTTTAATATCTCATCTGAAAGACGACATCTCCAACACCTCAGCCTAGATCTCAAGTACCAATATAGGACTTGAACGTGCAACCTTCTGACCCAGTAGTGAGGGTCTGCTGACTGAGCCAAGTTGGATAAGAAGGGAGTTCAATTCTTTGCCTTCCACACAAGTACAGGGGAACCCATTCTAACATGGTCACTGGGTGCAATAGCTCAAGGCTGCATTGTAAGTGAAACGTGAAAAAAAAATAGAAGTGCCTCTAATCTTATATTGTGGGAGAAATATGTCTTTCTGTGGTTGGTAAAACTCCAGCATCTATTCCCCCAAGCAAACTCTGGGGTTCCCCTCGAGCTAACCTGCGCCTAATACTCTCTGGAATTAAGTGAACGGGGGAGAGAATACGTCTTCCATTCCAGATAAATGGAAATTTTTATATATACGTGGAACCCTCAGGGTTTCTGGGTGTCAAGACAACTAAGATGGGACCTCACAGAGGTGGATGACATTTTAAATTGGATTAAAAAAGTAAATTTACATGAAGACATTAGGGTGCAACAAGACAGTATAACAAGGGCAGACAGGTTTATAGTTGGGTCAGGGCAGACACCAGGAAGTTTTTCTTTACTTAGAGGAATTCATAACTGGAACAGGGTTGCCATGAAGGGTGGTTGAGGCCAGGACACTGGGACTCTTTTTAAAACAGCAGCTTGATGCTGTTCTGGAGGGATGAGAGCAGATGGGCTGAAGGGCCTCCTTCATCCAAACTGATCTTGTGAAAGCTTGGCTAACCAAACACAATAATAATAATAATCCTTGCATTTGATATGGAGCTTTTCACGTCTTCTCGACGTCCCAAAGCGCTTCACAGAATATACTGTAAAGTGAATTGACTGTATATTTGTGGGCGAACGCAGCAGCCAATTGCGCACAGCAATGTCCCACAAACAGTCATGGATTGAAAATGACCAATTTATTATTGTTTTGTTTTGGAGGGATTATTATTAGGCTCTGTGTGGATTAAGGAAACTTGCCCATGGTTTCGCCCTGTCTGGTATTGAACTCAGGTCTCTCACATGCAAAGCGAGTGCTTTAACCACTGAGCTACAGGACTCCGTGATAATAAATAATAATAACCACAAATAATAATAACAATTTTTGCATCTGCCTTTTCACATCATCATGACCTCTCAAAGCGCTTCACATATACTGTAAAGTGGATTGACTGTGTATTTTGTGGGCAAATTTTTTTCCAATTTTTTTAAAAAATTACACATTTTCAAAAATTTTGAAAAATTTCCAGCTGACTGATGGTCCAAATTCTGTTTTTATTTAAAAGGGAAAGTAAAACCTTGGGATTGAAAGCGCACTGAGAGTTGGCATCCACAGCGTTGGGAGAGAAGCAGACAAAGGCAGACTCAATGGCATTTATAAAATATTAATAATATTTTCATCTGAACAATTGAAAGGAAACAAAAGAAATTCATTCCACATGTTTCCGCCTAATACTCTCTGGAATTAAGTGAACAGGGGAGAGAATACGTCTTCCATTCCAGATAAATGGAAATTTTCATATATACGTGGAACCCTCAGGGTTTCTGGGTGTCAAGACAACTAAGATGGGACCTCACAGAGGTGGATGACATTTTAAATTGGATTAAAAAAGTAAATTCACATGAAGACATTAGGGTGCAACAAGACAGTATAACAAGGGCAGACAGGTTTATAGTTGGGTCAGGACAGACACCAGGAAGTTCTGAGAGTTAGTGATCACAGCCAGGGCAAGTGGCCAGGACTACAGCTGCCTAAGGAGATCAAAATTGAAATAAGAAGATATGAATTTGCTTGGCAAAGGAAGACCAGTTCACCTTCTACCATCTTCGCAGTCGAATGCACATGCCATTGCCCAAACTATATACCGTTATTTCCTAACAGAACTCTACCTAATTTGTTCTTGAAAGAACCAACACTTTCTGCTTCCACTATCTCCCGAGGGAGCCTGTTCCATATGTTTACTACTCGCTCACTGAAGTAGTGTTTCTGCAGATTTGTTTCTGAATTTACCCACCTTTGATGGCTGGCTGTGTCCTCTGGTTCTACTTTTCAGTACAAGATATCATGGTCTACATTAGCTCGTCGCTTTAGAAACTTGGCCAGTATTCCGCGCTCCTGATCTCTACAATTTATTGAGTTACACACAGAGATACAGCACATTATGAGGGGGTTGATAGAGTGAACAAGGAGAAACTATTTCCACTGGCGGGTGGGTCGGTAATCTGAGGACACTGATTTAAAATAGTTGTTGAAACAGAGGGGAGGTGAGGAGAAATTTTTTCACACAGTGAGTTGTTTGGATCCGGAATGCATTGCCTGAAAGGGTGGTGGAAGCCAATTTGATAACAACTTTTAAGAGAGAAGCAGATCATTATTTGGGGAGGATTAGTTTTCAGGGAAATGGGGAGAGAGCGGGGGAGTGGGATTGATTTGGAAGCTCTTTTAAAAGTGTTGGCACGATGGATCCTTCTGCGCTGTATAATTCTATGATTCGATGATAACTTCTAGCAGTGAGTTCCACTTTCTCACAATCCTCTGTGTGAAGAGGTTTCTCCTAAATTCCTTGTTAGATCTATTGTATACTTATGTTCTGTAAAGTTTGCAGGGATTACTGCCCCCCGAAAAGCAATCTGCAAATCGATTAACAACCAGGTTCCTACTCTAAGTGGAGTTCTGTAGCTCAGTGGTTAGAGCACTCGCTTTGCAAGCGAGAGACCTGAGTTCAATTCCAGGCAGAAGGCGAAACCTTGGGCAAGTTTCCTTACTCCACACACTTAATAATAATCCCTCCAAAACCAAAAACAATAATAAAATTAGTCATTTTCAATCTACGACTGTTTGTGGGACATTGCTGTGCGCAATTGGCTGCCGCGTTCGCCCACAAATATACAGTCAATTTGCTTTACAGTATATTCTGTAAAGCGCTTTGGGATGTTGAGAAGACGTGAAAAGCGCTACATCAAATGCAAGGATTATTATTATTATTATTTACTGCCAGGTGACCAGAGGTGTGTGGAGCAAGGAAAATTGCCTAATGTTTTGCCCTGCCCAAGAATCGAACCCAGCTTCCTTGCTTGCGAGGCAAGTGCTCTAACTAATACAGGACTTCACATAAATATGCTACAAGACACCAACAAAGAATAATAATAATATTCCTTGCATTTTATATCGTGCCTTTCACGTCTGAGGACCATCTCAGATTCACTGTAAAGTGCAGTTACTGTGTGTTTTTCCGCCAAACGCAGCAGGCAATATGCGCACAGCAATGTCCCACAAACAACAACGTTACATTTGTAAAGCACCTTTCACATTGGGACGACATCCCAAGGCACCGAGCCATGAGTGAATGACCAATTTAATCTGGACCAGCAGAAACTGCCTTCTCTTTTTTCCAATAGTGTCACACAATCTTTAACAGACAGATGGGACCATGTTTGATGTCTCATCTGAAGGATGGTATGTCCAACAATGTGGCACAATAGAATGTCAGCCTAGACTATCTGAGTCTAGAATGAAGGCCAAATACCTCCTAAGAAAAAGGAAGGAGCACAGGGAGACGTCTGACACCAGACTGTGTTCACTGTGTTTGTGGAGTCCTGTAGCTCAGTGGTTAGAGCACTCGCTTTGCAAGCGCGAGACCTGAGTTCAATTCCAGGCAGAGGGCGAAACCTTGGGCAAGTTTCCTTACTCCACACAGAGCCTAATAATAATCCCTCCAAAACCAAAAACAATAATAAATTGGTTATTTTCAATCTACGACTGTTTGTGGGACATTGCTGTGCGCAATTGGCTGCCGCGTTCGCCCACAAATATACAGTCAATTCACTTTACAGTGCATTCTGTGAAGCGCTTTGGGACGTCCTCCTGACGTGAAAAACGCTATATCAAATGCAAGGATTATTATACTCACAGCTAAGGGAGGTGTCAGCAGACCTCAGTCACGGGAGTGGGAGAAACCACTTGTAAACAACAACTTCACATTTGGAGAAGAATTGTGAGGAGGGGTTGTGGACACCTACTGGTCCTGTCTTCCTACCTTCACCATCACCCCACCCCCCTCCACACACACAACATCAGCCAACTCCAATTTCATTCGAAACCCACATCTCACAACAAGAACAAAAACCCATAGAACATAACAGAATACAACACAATGGTTCTTATCTGGCTAATATTAACAATAATAATCCTTTCATTTGATATAGCGCCCAATCATGTCATCAAGACATCTCAAAGCACTTTGCAGGATATACTGCAAATGATGGTCAACGATAACTGCAGATCAGTGATGAACACAAAGTCACACCACCAGCACTTGTGCCCATGAGTGTTGTCTGCTCAGTACCGATTGTTACTTTGACCATTGACCTGACCTACCCTTCTGTGACCTCTGGACACTCTGTCCAGGAAGATGGGAGAGATGGGCTCATTTCTAAAGTCTGTTTCCGAGTTCAGGTACATGTTGCTCTTCGACAGATGTTTGTGCTGTCTCTTGGCGCGGAATGTCATCACTGTGGTCTCCAGAGCCAGGCAGTCCCTCCGGCCCTCCTTCGCTGCACCCTTCTTCTTCTTGCGAACACGGTCATTGACGATGACTTGAGACAGAGGGATCCCAAATCCCAGTGGATTCAGCTCTGTAGTGGGAAAGCAATGGGGCTCGGTTAAGGCTCAACACTGACATGAAATATTTACTTACTGCTTATACCAGTGGTTGATCATTTTGCAGAGGTGAGAACCTATTTTTGGTTCTTCCTTACACCCAACAACAAAAACTTGCATTTTTATAGCGCTCCTCACGTGAGGTAGGGTCTTGGAGCCATTAACAGTGACAGAGCCTAGATACCGAGCTGGTGGGGGAGTGGGGAGGTAACTGTAGGTACGGTCAAAGAAGAATGTCACCAGGCGTGATCTGAAAATGAGGAAGGAAGAGGCAGGGGGATTGAGGGAGAGAGTTCTAAAGTTTCGGGGCGTAGTGGCTGAAAGCACCATTGATAATTGGACCATGGTGAACTTCACACCTTCCACTCATGTTTTCTCAACCACTGCCCCATTCACCATGTGAGAGGGTAGTCAGGCAATCAGACTTCTGATGTTGCAATCCTCCCATTGAGTCTGCACACCAAAGTACTTTGGAGAGATTTAGGACACATATTTCATGGAATGCGAGCATATCTATGTAATTGGATGGGAGGGAGGGAGGGAAGAAGGGAAGTGGAGGAGAAAGGGAGGGAGGGTGAGAGGAGGGAGAGATAATAAAGATGTAAGGACAGATGGTATTGGGAATCCCTGAGTTCCAGAATGTCTATAAAGGGCTTGTCCCCAAGACCAGGTGGAGTGAAGGCAAGGGTTGGGTAACTACTGTAGGGGGCACGGGGCTGCTTCTTTGGGGTGAATGGACTTTTTGAGTTGATACAATTTACACAGAGGAGCTCATTCTCAACTCTCTCTTATTCTAATGTAACTCTAGCAACACCCTGTGCAACTCAGTACCTCTGAGTATCTTTACAAGATTATCCCTCAGTGATCTTTCCAATACTCTTCATGTAACTGACTTTACCTTTTGTGTGACTCTCGCTGTTTTGTATTGTCTGAGACACATTGGCCAGTCTCAAGACCCTTCTCAAGACCAGGCTCCCAGTTTAAAAAGGGAAGGGAGTTTCTCTCTCCCGGTGCGCCGGCTGACAATCCATTCAAAATTGGTCATTCACTTCACGGCTGTTTGTGGGATGTCGCTGTGCACAAATTGGCTGCCACGTTTGCCAACAACAACAACAACAACAACAAGATTCCATTTATAGAGCGCCTTTCACGTCAGGAGGACGTCCCAAGGCGCTGCACAGTTGGGTCATGACCCGAGCAGGGGGGAAATGGTCAGGGTGAGGGGAGGGAAGGGAGGGAGAGAGGAGGGGGGAAATGGTCAGGGTGAGGGGAGGGAAGGGAGGGAGCGAGGAGGAGGAGGAAGAGAGTCGAGAGGGGAGCTGAAGGCACGGTCAAAGAGAAAATAAATCACTACACACACTGTCCAGAAATTCTGCAAAAAGGTTTTGAGATGTTTTAAGCACTGTGGTGATAATTAGTCCCCAGAGTACAGTACCTTGGTCATGCTTCATATCATCCCAGCACAAACAAAATAAATAATAGTAATAATTTGTTCACTCAATTCACGACTGTTTGTGGAACACTGCTGTAGGCAATTGGCTGCTGCATTTCGCCCACAAAATAAACAGCCAATCCACTTTACAGTGCATCTCAAAGACGTGATAAAGTGCTATATCAAATGCACGGATTATTATTATCATTATTATATAACTAGGAAACTCAGCCAAGGGATATGATAATCTCACCATTGAAATTAGCTGAAAAAACAGCATCTGAAACTGATCCTGTAGCTCAGTGGTTAGAGCATTCGCCTCGCAAGCGAGAGACCTGGGTTTGATTCCCGGCAGGGCGAAACCTTGGGCAAGTTTCTTTACTCTACATGTCTGATAATAATCCCTCAAAAAAAATTAATAAATTGGTCAATTCAATCAATGACTGTTTGTGGGACATTGCTGTGCGCAATTGGCTGCCGCGTTTCACCCACAAATATACAGTCAATTCACTTTACAGTATATTCTGTGAAGCGCTTTGAGACGTCTAGAAGATACGAAAGGCGCTATATCAAATGCAATGATTATATTATTATTATCCCCATTAAATTTTGTGCTTGACTAACAATTTGGGCTGTGAGCATTTCAGCATTCTATGCCTCGGATTTAAGTTGACGCAATTCAACAGGAATTATCCCACAGATATAAATACACCACACAAAGTCTATTAACTGTGATATCACTGATAAGATAACAGAAGCAGCTCTGTGTGGTTCACAGGTTCAAGTCAGTGTCACTTGCGTTGGCTGGGTGATGGATGGATATCAACAAAATCTCTAGCACTAATTAATCATTACGTAGAGCCATAAAGCATACAGCACAGAAGTAGGCTTTGTCTCACTATGCCTCTTATCTCTCCGTTTAGTCCATTTCTCACACTAAATGTAATTTTATTGTTGTCGTTGTGGTCCCTAAAATGCTTTTAAAATTCTCATTTTTTGGATATGTATCCAATACCCTCTTAAAAGCTAATGTGGAAGTTTCAAATATGGGAAGGGAGCTTCTCCTGGTGACCTGGCCTACAATCCCCCAGTGTGTCAGCCTGGCGCAGTGGTAGCGCTCTCACCTCTGAGTCAGAAGGTTGTGGGTTCAAACCCTACATCAGGACTTGGAACCACATAGTCTAAGCTGACTCTCCAATGCAGCGCTGGGGGGAATGTTGGATTGCCCGAGGTGCCGTCCTTCCGATAAGACGTTAAAACAAGGCCCTGTGCGCCTGTTTAGGTGGACGATAAAGAGCCCGTTGAAATATTTGAAAAGAGAAGGGTGTTTCTCTCATTGTCCTGACCAACAAGCTCCCAAATAAAATGGGCCACTCACTTCATGACTGTTTGTGGGTCATTGCTGGCATAACTGTCTGGTGCGTTTCGCCCACAAACCCACTTTACAGTATATCATCTGATGTTCTTTGAGACATCTCAATGATATGATAAGGCGCTATATCAACAACAACAACAACAACAAAATTATATTTATAGAGCACCTTTCACGTCGGGAGGACGTCACAAAGCGCTGAACAGTCAGGTGTCGGGGCCCAAACATGGGGAAGAGGTGGTGTAGGGGTGAGGGAAGGCAGAGAAGTGGGAGGGAGACCAAAGGCACGATCGAAGAGAAGGGTCTTGAGACCGGCCTTGAAGGAGGAAAGGGAGGAAGAGACCATGGGATGGAGTTCCAGAGTGTGGGGGCAAAAAAGAAAGGATTATAAAAAAATTGGCCATTCACTTCATGGTTGTTTGTGGGACACTGCTGTGTGCAAATTAACTGCCACCTTGGGCTGCAAATACACAGTCACTACACTTCACAGTAAAAACCTGTGAAGCACTTTGAGACATCTCGATGAAGTGATAAGATGCAAAATCAGATCCCAAGATTTTTACAATATGGATTGTGGCTCAGGCACTCTTCACAGCAGGGTATTCCATGTCCTGACAACTGTCAGTGAAAATAAACAGGTTTGCATTTCTCCCTTGTCTTCTAAAGTTAATTACATCACCAACAACTAACATTGATGTAGCGCCTTTCATGCCAAAGAACATCTGTAAGGGTCATGATGAGAAAAGCACCTGAGCAGGTGGACTCATGGGCTGAGTTTGTAAAACAAAATTCTATATTGTTGTATCTGCGAGTGCAATGCTTTGGAGATTGGGTGAACTCATTTATCTCTGATTAAAGATACATGTTGTAGGGAGGAACTTTTATCAATCATCATAGGGTTTGCAATTAACCTAAAAGGGTTTAGTGGTTCCTGCATCTGCTAATCTATTGTTCAGAGAGAGGGAAGAGAGAAAGAGAGACGGCCAAAACGATAACCGAGCCATGAGGAAGGAATGTATAGATGACATATGATGAAATTAATCTGAATAGAAACAACCTCAATCGTTTTGTGAACTTTATCTGAACCCTGAGATACACTACTCCTTTCAAAGATGCTCTTAAGTTCTATTCTTTATAATACAGACCAACGCCCTCTCAATGACTGGTGCAAGACTGATAACCTTAGGGCTAGTCCAACAAGAACAACAACAAATTGCAGTTATACAATAGAGCGCCTTTCATGATGGGAAGACATCCCAAGGTACTCGACAGTCAAGGGTCCAATGCCAAGATCATTTTAGACTGAGTGCCATGTTGTGCTGACTAACCCATGGCCTACCACATTTTAAGGAGAAAATTGGCATCAACAACGTGACACAATCTCTCAGCTGATGGATACAGTTACATAGAACATTACAGTACAGAAACAGCCTGCTTAGCCCAACTAATCTGTGCCAGTCCTTACAAATCTGCATCTGCACTATTCCCTTCTTCCTATTCCCTTCTCCCTCGTGTCCACATCAAGTTTCTTCTTAAATACACTGGTGTTTTTGGCTTAAACCACCTGCTCTGTGATATGAGCAATTAGTAATGATTGGGTGAACATTGGAAATCAGGAGCAGAAGCTCTGACCTCTTCAATCCCTCACCTAGCCCAGGGATACCAAATATCTAGAGTGTTCTCCACCCATCCCATCCGAGTGACTGAAAGTAGAGCAGGGATCAACCTGAGACCACCCTGGTCCACGCAGCTCAGACCCACCCATGAGAGAGCTCGCAAGAGAGGGATTGTCAGGCAGCATTATCTTATGTCGCTGATGGTGACAGCACAGCTTGTATCCTTATTGTATCAGAGAAGAAATGGAAAGGGCAGCCACATCAATTTAAGATAATTGGCATGGCAAGCTCTCAAGAGGGAATTAGATACACTGAAGATGGATGAGAAAAGAGAACAACAACAACAGATTACATTCACACAGCGCCTTTCATGCAGGAAGGACATTCCAAGGTACTGGACTGTCAAGGATTTGGATCCGAGCAGGGGTTTGGGATCAGGGGGGTGGAGGGCTGTGAGTATAGGGGTAGGAGGATGACCGAAGGCACGTTCAAAGAGGAGGCGAAGAGGAGGGTCTTGAAGGGACCAGAATGTGAAGTGAAGTCATTTGCAGGGGGATAGGTGTATGTGTGTGTGTGGGGTGGGGGGAAATAATCAGATAAATTGGAGTGCAAGTATTGCTCTTAAAAGAGCCGGTACAGACACAATGGGCCAAATGGCCTTCTTCCATGCTGTAAATTTCTATGGTTTCAAGCCCATGTTCAGGGCAATGCTGTTAGCTTCAGGCAGCTCACTCGTGGATTGCACAGTCTCCATCCCTCAGGAGTTCCAGCAATAAAGCAGCTGCTCTTTCACCTCCGGTGTGGTGTGACCTTGATCATCCTCTCAGGTCATGGGTTCCCTTTGCTCAGGGTTGAATCAGCCTCGTGTCAACTTTCACTGAGTCCCTGCTGGGTTGGAGCTGTGCAGATGATCAATCATGGAGAGGTCAGGTAGGAAGGGAATTGATGTTCACACCACAGGGAAGCTAAGTTGTGGAGACTCTCAACCACAATGTGTCCTCTCACTTCCCCTTCCCCACACCTAAGGGCCCAGAAACTCATTGCACATAAGACAATGACTAAAAGCAATATTAGGCCAAATAGCAGAAAGTTTCCACATTTCCTCACACTATGTAAATGCTCACTTTTTTCTTTACATTCATCCTTACTGACAGTAGCTACAGAACTTGTGGATGATACAGGGAAGTGGGATCTGGGAAGGGCTGCACTACTTTCTCAAAGAAGATACTAGGGAAGGTTATTTGGCCCATCAGGTCTATTCCAGCACAGACCATTCTGTGACAGAGCAGACTTGTTGGGCCAAATGACCTCTTGTTCTTAAATTCCTATGTAATCCTCAACATTAATAATAATAATAATAATAATAATCCTTGCATTTGATATAGCGCTTTTCACGTCGGGAGGACGTCCCAAAGCGCTTCACAGAATATACTGTAAAGTGAGTTGACTGTATATTTGTGGGCGAACGCGGCAGCCAATTGCGCACAGCAATGTCCCACAAACAGTCATAGATTGAAAATGACCAATTTAATTATTGTTTTTGGTTTTGGAGGGATTATTATTAGGCTCTGTGTGGAGTAAGGAAACTTGCCCAAGGTTTCGCCCTCTGCCTGGAATTGAACTCAGGTCTCTCGCTTGCAAAGCGAGTGCTCTAACCACTGAGCTACAGGACTCCTTTATATGTGTTAGCCTGACAATTGGTAACACTCTCATGTCTGAGGTAGAAGGTTGCGGGTTCAAACACCTTTCTGATACTCCACAAACTCAGAGGTGCTGTCCTTTTGCAGAAACGTTAAACTGGGGTTCCACCTGCCCGTTCAGGTGGACATTAAAGATCGCAAGGCACCATTTGAAATGAGAAGGGATGGTCACTTTATGGATGTTTGTGGGACATTGCTGTGTGCAAACTGTCTGCCACGTTTGCCTACGAAATACACAATATATTCCATGAAGCATTTTGAGACGTCTTGATGACATGATAAGACGCTATATCAAATGTAAAGATTATTATTATATATCAATAAGCATGTACTTAAATGTTGCTGTATTTAATTATTGTGGCATAATGTATTGAGGTATTATGTATTGAGGTATTAATGTTTTGAGGTAAAATTATTGAAGTATTAATTATTTAGGTATTAATTATTGCAGTATTAATTATTCAGTTCAAATTATTGAGATATTAATGTATTGAGGTACCTTTGTCCTTTTTTTCCTTGGCGAGTGAATCCAGCTTTAGTCTGAAGGATTTCCTCCTCTTCGGCCCATCTGTCAAACAGGAAAGTTATGGATGTTATTATCTCAAGTCAGCACACACCTGGACCTGACACAGACCTGGAGACATGTACCTGCCCAATGGACTCCCAGGTAAAGCAGCTGATGCAGTGTTGTGGAACACTGGAAGTTTACAGCACAGGAGGCCATTCAGCCTATCAGGTCTATGCTGGTGCTTGTTCCCCCACTAATAAATTGGTCACTCAATCCACAATTGTTCGAGGGACGCTGCTGTGCGCAATTGGCTGAAGCTTTCGCACACAAAATACCCAGTCAACTTGACGTCTCGAAAATGATCTGAACTTCTTCAATGTTTCCACATGACCCGTAGCCCCCTGGTATCATCCTGGTCAATCTCTGTTGAGCCCTCTCAGCACTGTGAATCCTTTCATTAATGCAATGTTGATCACTGGACCTAATATTTCAGCTAAATAATAATAATAACCCTTGCATTTGATATAGTGCCTTGTCACAGTGTTGAGACATCTCAAAGCGCATCACAGGATATATTGTAAAGTGAATTGATTGTGTATTTTGTGGGTGAAACCACAAAAAATTGTGCACAGCAGCATCCCACAAACAGTCGTGGATTGGGTGACCAATTTCTTTCAGGGATTATTACCAAAGAAAACGATCTACCAATCGACTAACAACCGGGTTCCAACTACTGCTAGGTAAACAGGTATGTGGAGTAAGGAAACTTGCCTAAGGAATTGTGCGGGTATTGAAGTTGGATCCTCTTGCCTGTGAGGAGTGCGCTCTATGGGACCACTATACTATGGGACTCCACAACTGAGGAAATTACCTTAATAATAATAATAATCCTTGCATATGATGTAGCGATTTTACGTCTTCTGGACTTCTCAAAGTGTTTCACAGAATATACTGTAAAAAGAATTGACTATGTATATTTGTGGGCGAAATGTGGCAGCCAATTGTGCACAGCAGCGTCCCACAAACAGTCATGGATTGAAGTGACCAAGTTTCTTTTTTTTCGTGAGTGGTTATTAGCAGGCGTGTGCAGTAAGGAAACTTGCCCAAGGTTTGGAATGGGAATCGAACCCAGGTCTCTCGATTGCAAGGCGAGTGCTCTAACCACTGAGCTACAGGACTTTTGTTTTTAAGCACCTCAAACATCAAACTTCTCAAAAATACCCAACAGCTGTTGCTACCAAGCCTAGAGATTGCCTCTACGCAAACACAGCAACCACATTACATATAGCAACAGGCCCACAAACAGCCATGTTTGTGGACAACTGTATGCTGAAGGATTGTTGGCCAGGAGATTATTGTCTTCTCTTGTCAAGTAATGTCACAGGATGGTTAATGCTCACCTGAAGCAGAGAGGGTCTTGGTTTAACATCTCCAATGAAGGCCGGTGTCTCCGACAGTGCAGAGCCAGCCTGGACTGTGAGCTCCAGGCCTGAAATAGGGACTGTCTGGCACATTGAGCAAGTCACTGTGAAAGCCAACTGCACGGATCAGCAAGTCTCTCTACAAATCCCCTTTAAGCAGCTTGATATTAAAAAAATACCTCCAAACATTTTCCATCCCCGTCTCCCACACTGTGCCCCGGCAAAGATGGTTACTGCCGGGAAGTGTTACCACTGATCTCCACTGATTACTGAACAAACAGGGATCAGTAGGAATGTTTTCGTTCTCTGTAACATTAAGCTCTGGACCTCAGGGCTCACTCCTGGCATTGGAGCTTGGGAACAGTGACACATTGACCCGGTCTGGGTCTTTGCTTGCGATTCATTACAGATGTTTGAGTTCTGCTGCTCACAGTGGTTCCACCGTGGGATGGGGATGGGGTGGTGAGAGGGTTAAGATGAATTTATCTCTCCCCCCTCCCTCCCACTGAGCACGTTTCATTCGCAAATAGCTAAAATGGTTGCTGGAGCCACCTCCTCTCTGGAGTTTCACTGGCTGATGTTCAAACCTCGTACATCAGAATAGCCCTTGTCCCACTCCGTGTGAGACCACCACCCACACCCACTTACCAGCCTTCCCTCCCACCCCCCTTTTTTGTCTCTGGCTCAGAAGGTAATGGAAGGGCTTTGAACTCCATACCCCCATCACACCAGTCCTTGCCAGGCTCCACTGACTCCCAGTTACCAAACGGATCAATTTCAAGATCCTCTCCCTCGTTTTCAAGTGTATTCATGCTCTGGCGACCTATCTGACCTGTTTACCCCCCCACTCTACCACCCAGTGCCTCAGCCTGGCTGGCCCAGGCCTCTTATTTGTCCCTTGTCCTCTCCGCTCCACTATCGGTGGCCATACCTTCAGCCACTACCCCCCGAAACTCTGGAGCTCACTCCCTCAATCTCCCCGCCTTTTTCCCTCCCTCCCCACATTCAAATCCCGCCTTGCTTTTTGATCATGCTTATGGTCACCTCCCCACTCCCTCTCCCCCTGGCTCGGGGTTGGGGGTCAGATTCCATTACTGTGAAGCGCTGCATGTCGCTTCCCCTCGTGAACAGCGCTTTACAAATACAAGTTGTTGTTGTTGTTGAACTTACAGTCGAAGCTCATACTCCAGTGCATTGCTGAGGATGTAATAATAATAATGATAATAATCCTCGCATTTGATATAGCGCCTTATCGCATCTTCTAGACGTCTCAAAGCGCTTCACAGAATATAGTGTAAAGTGAATTGACTGTATATTTTGTGGGTGAAACGCGGCAGCCCTATTGCGCACATCAACATCCCCACAAACGAAGTGACCAATTTATTTTTATTTGTTTTTCTTGAGGGATTATTATTATCGGGCTTATGGAGTAAGGAAACTTGCCCAAGGTTTCGCCCTGCTGGGAATCGAACCCAGGTCTCTCGCTTCCCAGGCGAGTGTTCCAGCCACTGAGCTACAGGACTCCTATATTGATGTGCTATATTGTTGGAAGAAGACGTTAAAAAACCCATGACACCATAAGAAAAGAATAAGGAGCATCTCTGTATTAGTGTCCTAGCCAACAATCCCTCAGATAGAATCAGTCACGCACTTCATGGCTGTTTGTTGGACATTGCAAATTGACTGCCTACAAAAATACACAGCTCCTCCAACTGACAGTAAATCCTGCAAAGTGCTTTGAGAGGTCATCTAAACCAATCTTGTGATCTTGTGAAACATCAACCCAACATGAGGCATATTAAATACAAGGATTATTATTGTTATTATTCTCTGTATGTGAGTCTCTGTCTCCGTTTTTACTCCCATGTCTCTGCCTGGCTTCTCATCATCTAAACCCTGTCTCCGTCCGCCCGCCTGTTCATCCCTAGCCTGTGTCTCTGTGTGACTCACTGTATCTTTGTGCTTGTCACTCTCAGTAATCTTTCTCTATGTGATTTTTCCTCTCTTACACTCCCTTGATCTTTCCCATCTCTGTCTTCTCTCACACTCCACTCTATTCTCACACACTTACTGACACTTACTATCACTGACACTCTATCTATTCCCTGTATTCCCAATGTGTGTGATCCCCTCTCACCTGTGTCTTACTCCCATTATCGTCACCTTGCCCCACTCTTGCCTATTGTCCATGTGGATGTTTGTGTGACTTTCATTCTTTTATCAATGGTCCCAATGCAAATATCTAATGGTTATCAGCAAATCATGGAGGCCTGTAGCGTATGGTTAGAGATCGCCTCGCAAACGAGAGGACCCGGGTTTGATTCCCGGGCAGGGCAGCACCTTAGGAAGTTTCCTTACTCCACACACCTGTGTTTACCTAGCAATAAGTAGGAAGCTGGTTGTTAGTCGATGGGGGATCACTTTCTGGGGGTAATAATCCCTTCTTTGAAAACAAGTAAATAATAACAATTTGATCACTCAATCCATGACTGTTTGTGGGACACTGCTGTGCGCATTTGGCTGCCCCATTTCGCCCACAAGATGCAGTCAATTCACTTTAAAGGATGTTCTGTGAAGTGCTTTGAGACGTCTCAACGATGTGATAAGGTGCGATATCAAATGCAAGGATTATTATTATCATTATAAACCAGCCAATGTATAGGATTGGATAGGAGGCTTTAACATGACATTTTTGATTGACAGGAGACATTTGGGGGTTTCTCTGGAAACTTTTCAAATATCCAAGTCCTTACAAAATCGGCTACAATTGTGTGAATTGGAAGTTATGTTCTTATCTTTTGGACTTCCTGTCCAGAAGATGGAGAACTCCGCAAGTTGGGTGGGGCCTAAACTAAAAATATACCCTTGTGAAGGCCGCTATATAAATGCAAGTTGTTGTTGCATATACACAGATAGAAGGATATTCTCCTGACTGGATATATCAGCAATAAAATGTCATTACTCTGCACAAATAAAATGGGTCATTCATTTTGTCGCTGTTTGTAGGACATCGCTGTGTGCAAATTGCTTGTCCTGTTTGCCCACAGTCACTAGTTTACAACAAATGCTGTGAAGCACTTTAGGACTCCTCCTGATGTGAAGGGGATAATACCAAATGTAAGGATTATTATTGATGAACGGGCTTTCTTTCTAAGTCATTCCTGCATGGGCAGCACATTAGGGGACCTGGATTAGACCCTTGAGATGATTCTCTGATCCCTCTCTCCACTTTCAGCAGCCACAAAGTTTAAGAATAACAGTATTAAGTGATGAGAGAGTTTGATCCCCTGGAGAGCAAAGCAGAGAGACATTTGTGCAGTTGTCCTTTCATCTCTATCCCAATGAGCAAAACAAACAGGCAGCTCATCTCTTTGGAAGAAAGACGATCAAGCTGACTGGAGATGACAGAAACACATTCCTGATCTCTTCCCTAGACACTGCTGACAAGTTAGGGTCACATTGGGCCAAGCACTGTAATGGGAACGCCTGAGCCTGCATGGTTCGATTCCCAGTTTTAACCTTCTTGTTCATGTGGAATATGGGACGGACGATTAAAGACCCCGTTATACTCTGCTCTTCCCATCTCCTACCCTTTCTCCTAGATTATTTCTTTATGATTATTATTATTTCTTGAAGACCTTGTGTTTTTGCAGCCATCAAGTCACTTTACAGTGTAAAGGGTGACCACAGCCCTGGTCTTTTCTGGACAAAGCTTCTGATATCCACTGGATGGATGAGAACCCAGTTATGTGACGGAGTGACTGTCAGGGAGTGTGGTGTAGTTACTGTGACTGGCACTGACTGAGCCTGAGTCGCCGCTGAAATACTGCTCTCAGTGAGCCAGGCTCTGCAGACTAATCCTCACTACATCTCCTCCTCTAACACAATGACAGTCACAGTAACAGTAAATCCCACCACAATATTAATGAGATCGTTGAACGTTCTGCCAATGCACTGACCCAGTGCCCTGCGCTTCTGGGGCTGAGACAGTGATAATTTTCCCCCCAACCCCTCACTCATACACACACAAACACACACTCAGCCAGTGTGATCAACCCCTCCCTCCACAAACAGTAATGTGATGGACGTGGAAATCTCTGCCACAAACCATGAGTGAAAAATTCCCTTTGAAAGGAAATGGGTTTGTTACTTGAACCAGAGGATATTACAGGTGAGCGAGCAGGAAAATAGGACTAGACTTGGGTATCAGATTCGGGTCTCACCTTAGGTAGATCTTGTCTCCGAGTTCGTAGGCTGTGGGTTCAAGCCCCACATCAGGGCTTTGAACTCACAGTCTAGGCTGACGCTCCAGTGCAGTGCTAAGTGAGAGCTGCATTGTTTGATGAGTCCCATTAGATGTTAAAATTAAAGGTCCCATCTGTCAGTTCAGGTGCATGTTAAAGATCCCAGGGTATTATTTTCTCCTGATGTCCTGGCCAACAATCCCACCAAATAAAACTGGTCACTTCATGGCAAACTTGTGGGGAGGACATTGCTGTGGGCAAATTGGCTGATGTGATTGCCTAAAAATCACTATATTTCACAGTAAATCTTAATAATAATTATCCTTGCATTTGATATAGCGCTTTTCAGGTTTTCTTAGACGTCTCAAAGAACTTCACAGAATAAACTGTAAAATGAATTGATTGTATATTTTGTGGGCGAAACGCACACAGCAGCGTCCCACAAACAGTCGTGGATTGAAGTGACCAATTTATTATTGTTTGTTTTTTTCTTGAGGGATTATTATAAGACGTGTGGAGTAAGGAAACCTGCCCAAGGTTTTTCCCTGCTTGTCATGCACTTTAAGACATTCACATTATATATAGCAAATGTAAGGATTATTATCATTAATTATTATTATGGACAAGGTGGATCATGTGGAGAAAGCTACCAGGTCAGACTGGATGTGCTCTTTGTCTCCTGTAACCATCTAGTATTCAATTCGGCGGTGCCTTTCACAGCTTGAGAGCTTTACTGTTAGGTCACGGTATCAAGGGACATATCCCCATAGGGAAAGGGTGGGTAATTGGACTTGAGATAAGCCATGATCTTCTAAAATGGCAGAACAGACTCAAGGGTCTGAATCGCCTACTCCTGTTTCCATGCTTCTATGTTTACACCACAATATGAAATCATCTTCAAGTCCTAAAATGTCCAATTGTTTTGGTTGCCTGGGAGAAACTATTTCCTCTGGTGGGGGAATCCAGAACAAGGGGGCATAATCTGAAAATTAGAGCCAGGCCATTTAGGAGTTAAAGCAAGAGGCATCGTTTCACACAAAGGTTAGTGGAAATCTGAAACTGTCCTGTTCCTATGTTCCTCTGGAGAAACCCAACACCATGCTTGGAAACTATAGACCAGTCAGTCTGACATCGGTGGTAGGGAAAATTCTAGAAACCTTAGTTAGGGATGTCATCGTGGGGTACTTAGAAAATCATAACATGATTAGGCTGAGTCAACATGGCTTTACGAAAGGGAAACCATGTTTAACACATCTTTTAGAGTTTTTTGAGGATGTAACTAACAGGTTAGATATAATAATAATAATAATCCTTGCATTTGATATAGCGCTTTTCACATTGGGAGGACGTCCCAAAGCGCTTCACAGAACACACTGTAAAGTGAATTGACTATATTTGTGGGCAAACGCGGCAGCCAATTGCGCACAGCAATGTCCCACAAACAGTCGTAGATTGAAAATGACCAATTTATTCTTGTTTTTGGTTTTGGAGGGATTATTATTAGATAGGGGGGAACCAGTAGATGTGGTGTATTTGGATTTCCAGAAGGCATTCGACAAGGTGCCACATAAAAGACTGTTGCACAAGATTAGAGCCCATGGAATTAAAGACAATATATTAGGATGGATTGGAGAGTGGCCAACAGGAAGAAATCCGAGAGTAGGGATAAACGGGTCCTTCTCAGATTGGCAGGATGTGACTAGTGGAGGGCCACAAGGGTCAGTGCTTGGGCCTCAATTATTTACAGTCTATATCAATGATTTAGATGAGGAAATAAAACTTAACATATCTAACTTCGCGGACAATACTAATCTAGGTGGGAGAGTAAGCCGTGAGAATGACACAAGAAGAATGCAAGGGGAAATAGACAGGCTAGGTGAGTGGGCAAGAAGGTGGCAGATGGAGAATAACGTGGGGAAGTGTGAAGTTATTCACCTAGGTAGTAAAAATAGAAAAGCAAATTATTTTCTAGAGGGGGAGAGACTAGGTAGTGTTAGTGTTCTGAGGGATTTGGTGTCCTTATACACCAGTCACAAAAAGTTAGTATGCAGGTACAGCAAGCAACTAGGAAGGCTAATGCAATGTAGTTGTTCGTTGCAAGAGGGTTAGAGTACAAGAGTAGGGAAGTCTTGCTGCACTTGTATAAGGCCTTGGTGAGACCACACCTAGAATATTGTGTGCAGTTTTGCCTTAGATGGGGTGCACCGCAGATTCACTAGATTAGTTTCTGGGATAAGGGGGTTGACCCTGAGGACAGGTTGAGTTAACTAGGCCTATATTCTCTAGAATATAGAAGAATTAGAGGTGATCTTACAGAAACCTATAAGATTCTTAAGGGTTTTGACAAGGTAGATACCTTGAGATTGTTTCCCCTGGTTGGAGAATCTAAAACTAGGGGTCATAGTCTCAAGATTAAGGTCAAAGCATCTAGCCTTTTCAAACTGAGAATGGAATTAGGCTAGAAGACCAGCCATGATCTTATTAAATAAACTTGAGGGGCTGAATGGCCTACTCATGCTCCTATGTCTTATGGTCTTATGTTTAAGAGTATCCAAACCAAACTGAGAATTCTGTGCATCCCACCGCCACATGGAAAGTTCTCGTGTGCTGAAAAATATCTGATTCGAATGTGCACAATTGAAGTAATTAGTTGAATTATCCTGGCATGAAATCCTTATTAGGTTTCCGAGAACACAAAACATTCCAGCAAAACTGCCAGAAAAATATTTTGTTTGGAATCAACATTTTCCAGATCCCCAATGATTTGTTTGTAGTATCGGATCAGTGGCTCGTCCACAAACTGCCATGTAGTCTCTCTGACAGTGAACACTGGAACATGGCCGGGTCAGAGGCAAGATCGCAGGAGATTCCATTTCCACCTCCGCAACCAGGAGCTCATGCAAGTGAGGCCACACTCCCAGGTCAGTGACAGCACGGATTAGAGACAGAGTAAAGCTCCCTCTACACTGTCCATCCACACTCCCAGATCAGGGTTAGAGACAGAGTAAAACTCCCTCTACACTGTCTGTCCACACTCCCAGGTCAGGGCAGATTAGATACAGAGTAAAGTTCCTTCTCCACTGTCAGTGACAGCACGGGTTCGAGACACAGTTAATCAGAATACATTAAGCAGGTGCTTATCCATTCCAGACAAATGGAAACCATACACATGTAGAACGGGCAGAGATCTGCAGATTGAAACATGATCATGGGCTTGACCTTGTGTCAGTGTGGAAGCGGAAGAAGAAAGGCTGGCGATTAAGGAAGCGCTACCTTTGGGTATGGTGATCTGGCAGCCCAGGTCTTTCCTCTGCAGGTGTACGAAGGCCACTTCTTGTAAGCTCGCTCGCTCCAGTTCAGAGAGGCTCTGGATCGGGACCGGCTGCAGGGAGATGCTCTGACCAAACATTGTGCTCCAGATATAGTCACCCTGTGTCAGGAAAGAGAATGGAAAAGTCACTGAAACGCAGGGAGAAACAATAACAGAGCAATGGTCTGTCTGTCCCGTGTGATGGTGGCACTCTGTCCTTCAGTGCCCTGGACCTGACTGGCCACATCCCTCTTTATGAACACCTGCGGGTCACTACCAGAGTAAACCAGGCCCATACTGCAGCCATTGTCCACACTCCCAGGTCAGCACGGGTTAGATGCACAGTAAAGTTCCCTCTTCACTGTCTGCCCACACTCCCAGTTTAGAGGCACAATAAAGCTCACTCTACACTGTCTATCCACATTCCCAGGTCAGCGACAGCTTAAGTTAGATGGATTCCATTTCAAACTCCCCAAACAGGAGTCAGTCTGAGACTCCTGCATAAGAACATCAAACTAACCTGTTGAACACACTTTGCTTACTAACCTAAGAGTGCAATGCCTTAGGCACCGGTTGCAAGACTCCAGAGTGTGTGTAGGAGCACTGCTGAAGTCTAACCACACAGATTGTCATTACAGAGTGAGCTTTTATCCAACAAGGACCACTCTACCAGCGAGGGCAGTAGTGGCCAACCATTTTGGTGGCCAACAAAATAATCATAGAAATCACAAAATAGCATAATTTTATGCCATGAATCAAGAAATATTCAATCGAGAGACATTTATTTTGAATGAGCTGGGGATTTGGCTTGCTGGGTTAGTGGAACCCAATTGGGAAGAATCCCTGCCCCCAGTGGCTTTCTCCTCGTCCCATCGCTGAGCCAGGCTGATTGGTCTGCCATGGGTCGTGCCCTGGAGTGCTGTGGATCTGCCTGGCTCAGGAACTAGACTATCAGAGAGGTATGTTGGCTCAATTCCAACATTCCACTGCCAAGCACGTCACCTTTACACATACACACACTGTAACATTCCTCCGCAAGCATCTATCCATTTTCCTCTTCAAAGGACTCTAAAAGGACTTTAAAAGACAGACCAGATTCTGGCTTATGTGTGGTTGGTGGTAGAGAAGCACGCATTCCAAACTCTTTCTGCACACAGAACTATTTTGCTAACCTCCTCTTTAATTCAAAGTTTGTGATTCTCGTAAACTTGTGCCCGTTCTTTCCTGACACCATCCCATAGAAAGGTCACAGAGAGAGCGAGAGAGAAAAAAGCAAGAGAGACAGAGAGAGAGAGAGAGAGAGAGAGAGAGAGCGAGAAAGAAAGAGAGAAGTATGAGGAGCCACAGAATACCCTGTGGTTGCATCCATTCCCAAAAGGCGAGCAAGGCGATGGAAGAGCCTCCCCAGATATGGGGACAGAGGATGGATTTATGGAGAGTTACTGAGGGGAAAGAATGGATTTGACGCACAAGTGGCGGCTGCATCTCAGAGACAGCTTCAGCTGTGGAGAGAGTGAGCTCAGAGGTCCCAATGCAGCCAAGAGTGTCGAAAGATGAAGAAGGATTCACACAGGGGCCCCTTGGAGTAAAAGATGGGAACCTTAGCTTAGACATCAGATAATGTTACAGAAACAGCTTGCTCAGCGCAGCAGTCTGGACGGCTGTTTCTCTTCTAATCCCACTCTCCACCGCTTGCTCCACCATCTAACCCCCCATCCCCCTTTAATATTCCTCCTCTTTATGGAATCCTGTAGTGTAGTGGTTAGCGCGCTCACCTCGCAAGCAGGTGGGGCAAAACCTTAGGCAAATTTCCTTACTCCACACGCCTCTGTTTACATTGCAGTTTACCAGTTGTTAGTCAATTGGCGGATTGCTTTCTGAGGGTAATAATCGCTTAAAAAAATAATAAATTGGTCACTCAATCCACAACTGTTTTTGGGACGCTGCTGTGCACAATTGGCTGCTACACGCGTTTCACCCACAAAATACAGTCACTGCACTTTGCAATATATGCTGTGAAGCGCTTTGAGTCTCAACGACGTGATAAGGCATTATATCAAATGCAAGGATTATTATTATATACTGTATTATTATTCAGGCAGCTGTTTAATTTCCTTTCAAAAGAATTGATGGATTTGCAGTCTAGACTGAGTGCAATGCCGGTGGGGGAGGGAGATGACGGGAGATGATACGTTTAAACCCAGGTTCCATCCGCCTCGTTCGAGAGCTGATACTATTGGAGAAGGGAGTACCCCACTGTATCCTGGCCAACAATCCTCCAGATAAATTGATCCTTCTCGTCATGTCTGTTTGGGGGGAACCCAGGCAGGAAGCTGGTCTGATGTTTATAGATCAAACCAGGATGTTGACGTTCACGAAGAACTTGAGAGCTACCAGGAAGCAGTTTCTGAACACGCTACTTTATCACAGTATCGGTTGCACACATTGGGGACATTGTAAAAGCCCCACCGAGATATTTGTTTCTTGGAATTTCCACAAGTAATTTTGTAATGCAGTGAATCACAAGACCATTAGTGACAGCTAACTTCACTCCAATGCCAGTCATATGTTCCACATTTGGCCTGTTTCACATTGATCCCCGATCGATTGATTGTGGTCAGACTGAGTCATGTTCCTGTCTCGGTGAAGCTGCAACTCACTTGGTCTCAGAGACAACCAAGACCTTAGAGAGTGAGAGACTGGGTAGGGTAGGGGTGGGAGAACATCTGGCCGATTTCCTTGTTGCCTCAAAGTCTCGAAGATCGTTATCTGTGGAGTCCTGTAGTTCAGTGGTTAGAGCACTCGCCTCGCCAACAAGAAGGCCTGGGTTTGATTGCTGGGCATGGCGAAACTTTATGTAAGTTTCCTTACTCCACACCCCTCTGTTTACTCATCACTTTCCGGGGGTGATAATCCCTCAAAAAAAATTGATCACTCAATCCACGACTGTTTGTGGGTCACTGCTGTGCATAATTGGCTGCTGCGTTTCACCCACAAAATACACAGTCAATCCACTTTACAATCTATTCTGTGAAGTGCTTTGAGAAATCTCAAAGACATGATAAGGCGCTATATTAAATGCAAGGTTTATTATGATTAACCTTCCGCAAAAGCAAAGCTTTTAGAGGGATGTTGATCCATGTTGCCTCTTCCCTTGTTCCGGCCATTAATTACCCTCTAAATAAAGAAAAGCTTCTTGATGTTTCCCTTTGAAACTCTAAACCTGTGTCCTCTTGTGTTCTCTTGGTGCATCCAAAAGTAATGTTCTGGGCTTACTTTTTCAATCCCATATAAAACCCAGAATGTATTTCATTAAAATCCAATAACAGTAATAATCCTTGGATTTATATATATAGTTCTTATATTCATGTACGTTATAGTTGGAATGTTAGAAGGATGTCTCAAAGCACTTCACAGTAAAATTGATTGACTGTGTATTTTGTAGGCAAGTGCGGCAGCATAATTGCGCAGAGCAGTGTCCCACAAACAGCCATGGGGTGAGGGATTAATTTTATTTTGGCGACTGTTGGCCAGGACCCTGGAAGAGAGAAACTCCCTTCTCTTTTCAAAAAGTGCCATGGGATCTTTAACATCCACCAGAACAAGCAGACGGGACCTCGGTTTAATGTCTCACCCGAAGGATGGCTTCTCTGACAATGCAACACCCACCCCAGACTGCATTGGAGAGTCAGCTTAGACTATCTGATTCTATGTTCCGACGTGGAGCTTGAACCTTCTGATTCAGAGGCGGGAGTAAGCGCTACCCACTGTACCTGGCTGACACACAATCTTTCTGTTAAATCACGGCCAACACCACCCACTTAATTCAACTCGTAAAATTAATCATTGCTTTGTTTGAGTTTGAAGAAACATTGACGAAGAGCAGATGAGTTATCCAGCATTTGTTTACACTAGTCAGTGATGTGATCATTAACACTGGTGAGAATTGATCATCCCAATCTTGTGCATTAATCTTAACACACTGCTCACACCCAGGGCTATACACACATGCATATTGCTCACACCCAGGGCTACACACACACCCACATTGCTCACACCCAGGGCTATACCCACACACCCATACTGCTCACACCCAGTCTATACACACACACACCCACACTGCTCACACCCAGGGCTTTACACACATACATACTGCTCACACCCAAGTCTATACACACACTCACACTGCTCACACCCAGGGCTACACACACACCCACACTGCTCATACCCAGGGCTACAAACACTGCTCACACCCAGACACACACACACACCCACACTGCTCATACCCAGGGCTACACACACACACTGCTCACACCTAGAGAGGCTGACACGACAGTGACAGATCAGGGCCCGGATTGGTTACACCACAGACTGCCGCAGAGACTGCCGGGAAGGCTCGCTATCATTTTATAACACAAACGGGGAAGGGGCTAAAAGCCCCTCAGTATGGGCGGAGTTCCCTCTTAATTGAACATCATGTTCTGAATAGACTGGACCAACACCAGACGATTCTCATCAGTAAATTCAGCCTGTGGTCTCGCCACACAACTTACATTACTATAGATAAGTATTGTCTACTCCACCGAGAGCTCAGAGTAGGTACACTGACAACCGTATAGTCTGTGTGCTCTATAGTGGAGTCCTGTAGCTCAGTGGTTAGAGCGCTCGCCTCGCAAGCGAGAGGACCCGGGTTCAATTCCCGGGCAGAGTGAAACCTTAGAAAAGTTTCCTTACTCCACAGGCCTCTGTTTACCTAGCGGTAAATGGGAACACAGTTGTTAGTCGATTGGCGGATCGCTTTTCCAGGGGTAATAATCCCTCACTCAATCCACGACTGTTTGGGTGGGACGCTGCTGTGCGCAACTGGCTGCCACGTTTCACCCACAAACATACAGTCAGTTCACTTGACAGCATATTCTGTGAAGGGCTTAGAGACGTCTCGAAGACATGGTAAGGTGCTGTATCAAATGCAAGGATTATTATTATTACACTAGCACCTGCTGTACACACGGGCTGCCAATCACACTTCTGTACACCCAGTCTGCGTGCTCTGAAGTACACTCGGAGGAATTAATGCATTCCATTAGTGAGAGAGGGAGAGCATGCACATTCTATCC